AAAGAGAGAAAGAAAGAAAGAAAGAAAGAAAGAAAGAAAGAAAGAAAGAAAGAAAGAAAAAGAAAGAAAGAAAGAAAGAAAGAAAGAAAGAAAGAAAGAAAGAAAGAGGGAAAGAAAGAGGGAAAGAAAGAAAAGAAAGAAAGAAAGTTAGTTCAAAGCTACCAGTACTATCCAGAAAGTTTTACTTCGCTCCGTTAATTATATTGATTTAACAGAGACATAGAACCTCCCACATCTTGGGCAAAGAGTGGCCACAGAGAATTCTGGATTTTGATCCTCCAACAGGTGTGATCCTTTCACAGTGATCCTTCTGTGAGTCTTCTGAAACCCATCTCCATTGTTTTTTTGTTTGGTTTTTTTTTTACCACCATGGACTATTGCCCCATGCTACCTTCTTGCCTTCCTAGGTATGTGGGATTAGATGCTACCTTTTTGCCTTCCTAGGTATGTGGAATTAGATGCTACCTTTTTTGCCTTCCTAGGTATGTGGAATTATATGCTACCTTTTTGCCTTCCTAGGTATGTGGAATTAGGCGACCTGAAGAGTCTTGGGAAAGTAGCTCTCCTCCACAGAATTGTCACTGCCTCTAGAATTAAGAAGAGATGATGCACACAGTGCCCACTCAAACGTGAGACACGCTCTACTGAAAGGGAAAAAGCAGATGGCAGTGCTTACCTTCTGGGTCTAGGTCAGAAAGGGGGCTTCTGTTCTTCACAGGAGAAATATGGCCCTGGCACACACATCTCTGCCTGTCTTCAGCTGGGCATCTCCTCTGTGCACACAAAGTGATGGATTGTGGGGGGACTTCTGGCACTTCCCAAGAGCTGTTTGAATGTGTGCAAGACTGAGATGCACACACGTGCGCAGATGTTTCCAAGGGCTTCAACGTCCACGGGCATGTAAGTGTGATTATCACAGTATAACCCCATCTGAGTGCACTGAAAACAAAGATATCGAAGATGTACACAGAGCAGAATCTTTGGGGTGATTCCATATTATTGGAAAAATACACTGTGTGTGCTGACACTATATTGCATGTGCTTACTAAAAAGTCGGGTAGAACATAGACCCAAGGGGTCATTATCCCAGCACCATGGAAATTTGGAGGAAGAACTTGCAAGAAAGCTGGGAGTGAGACAGGGTTTTCCAATTTACATTTACACTTTTATATTTTTTCCATTTTTTGGGGGGGTCTTTATGAACAAATATTTTAGTATTTTTCTTTATGGGCTTTAAAGTGGAATGTATCTGTATTTTACCTGTTTTCAAGCTATAACAACTAGGAAACATTAGTTAAAGAGTAGGGAAAAAAGATGGAGGGAGGAAATCTGAATGGTCAAAAAAACAAAAAACAAAAAACAAAAAACAGAGAAAACCGAAATCTGAATGGTCAAAAAAACAAAAAACAAAAAACAAAAAAACAAAAAACAGAAAAAACCGTATTAAGAAAGATGACAATTTAAAAAATTAAAATCTATGAAGACTCACTGACAAGTTAAGTGCCCAATAACGTCAGAGAGATGGGACAAAATGTGTAACATTCACAAATGTAAGTCATGTCTGGCTAGTAACAATGATATCAAAGGATATTATGAATTTGTACAGAAAGATATGAACAATATATAAATTTTTTTTTATTTCACAAAGATGTTTTGTCTAAGGATCCCATGTTGTGGAAGAACATTTTCCAGGTCTTGCTATAAGGAAGGCAGTACGGAAGGTTGTACTATGAAACGTAAACATCAGTCCTTCCAGCGGTAGGAGCATTGTAGATTGTCATTGCATTCTTTATGCGTATAGACACTTTCTAGGTTTAGAATGTATATGTACTAATTGGATATTGGACAAAGAGGAGATACATTAAGAGTTGCCTCTACAGTCTTGGTCTAAAGTCAGCAAACACAGATGGCACATTTAAGAATTTGTGGCTACAGATGGGGACTGACATGTACATGGATTGTTATCATATCTTTTCAAGATTATTTATTTATTTCAGAGACAGAGTCAGAGATATTGACAGAGACAGCAAGAGAGAGCAGAAGCAGGGAGGAGAGGAAGAAGCAGGCCCGCAGCTAAGCAGGGAGCCGGACTCGAGCCTCGATCCCAGGACGCTGGGATCAGCACCTGAGCCGAAGGCAGACTTTTTTTTTTTCTTTTTTTAAAGATTTTATTTATTTATTTGACAGAGAGAGACATAGCGAGAGCAGGAACACAAGCAGGGGGAGTGGGAGAGGGAGAAGCAGGCTTCCCGCGGAGCAGGGAGCCCGATGCGGAACTCGAATCCAGGATCCTGGAATCATGACCGAAGCCAAAGGCAGACGCTTAACCGACTGAGCCACCCAGGCACCCCTGTTATATCTTATCACTGAGGCTATCAATTAAAGCAGTAACCACATAAAATGGGCTTTAAAATATATTAGGTCATTTAAATTCAATGTGAATACTGTGGGCCATAGATCATTCTTAATTTGACCATGATTGAAAGTTACAGAGAAATGCTGAGACGTGGACAATTCTATTTGTCCTTTACACAGATCGAGCCTCTTCCCACAACATTCTCCTCTGGGCTTTCCAATGATACTAGCTTAAAAGGAAAAGGAACAGGAGGAAAATTGATTATCAAACACGATTTGTAGCCCTCCATACCTCCATGACTGGAGACTGCAGATAAAACAAATGAAGAGGTCCCAGAAAGAGCAAAGCCCTTTCTCCTAGCACACAAACGGACTATATTTATATTCAGGAGAGAACTCACCTAAAAAAAAAAAAAAAAAAAAAATCCTTTGGTTCTGACAGCTATTTGCTGGTTTTAGAAAAGGGGAGGAAAGGATCGCCTTTCTCACTTGGTGTTTGAATAAGAGTCCTTATGTTAAACTGACATCTTGGTCTTAGGGTGAAACTCCTCTGAGACGCTCAGAAAAAAAAGAAGCGAGGAGTTAGAAATCTGCTTTTTCAACCCCAGAGTCAGATTCTCAAGTACAAACTCTGGTCTCCTTTGCTTCCTTCTCCCTTCATTGGTGGGGGCAGCTGAGCTTTCACATTTCATATGGTGGAGCAGAGCTTCTCAAACATTAATGTGCACACAAATCCACTAGGGGTCTTGTTAAAATTATAGATTCTGATTCCATAGATCTTGGCGGGGAAGGGACCTGAGATTCTACATTTCCTACAAGCTCTCAGGTGAACCCATGCTGCCTGAACCATGCCTAAATCTGGAGGTTTTCAACAGTGCTAGAGGAAAGAATAATATTTTCCTGCCTATGAGAATTTTCCATAGTTTGCACTTCATATGGTCAACTTGTGCAATGTTTCTGGGTATACTCATGTTTTATCCCAGAATGTAGACTGGGTAATTACAACAGAATGAAATGTCCCTGAAACGGATCAAACAGTAAAGGAAGAGATGTTCCTGGGTGTTAGAATCTAGTTGGTCTGGGACATGAGGGTACTGTCTACTTTCATGGAAATTGCACCAACCAGGTGGCATCATGCCCTGCTAGGAGGCAGGACAAAAACACAATTTAAGAACACAAGCACACTAGCCAACTTTGTGGTAGTGATGGAAGCAGGTAAAATTGGTGTTTCCTAGGTCAACCCTCTTCACTGCACAGAAGTCAAAAACTGTGACACATTAAGTCAACCCATGATGCCATGAAATAATAGGAAGGTATAAACCAAGGAGCACTCATTCTAGACAATTTTACTACATCAACAATCCAGAACATACCCCCTCATCTGAGCCATCCAACATGCAATACACATGGCATGCACAATTTCTCTCCCTCACCAATCTCTATGGGAAATCCAGCCACCCAAAGTATGTTTTGTCAATTTGTTTTGTAGACTTTACTGAAGATATCATAAGTGAGATAAAGGGGGACAGACTCCACCCATTTCACAGCTTTTAATCCTCCAGCTCTTTGTTCCCTTGTAGAGATGCTCCCCTTTAAAGATTTCCATCTCCTATTCTCCCTCTTTGTCTCTTTCCTCCTTTGGTGATGATCTTCATCCCCCTCCATGAAGCAAGGCCATAAGGCATTAAACCCATATGCCCTATCAAACTCCATGTTCCACAAAACCAAAGGATGCTGCTCCCTTTAAGTGGCTCTTTAGAAACCATGTATCGTTTCGTTTAGATGTTGATGTGATGGTTAATTCTATGTGTCAACTTGACCAGTCTAAGGGATGCCCAGACAGCTGATAGAATGTTACTTCTTGGTGTGTCTGTGAGGGTGTTTCTGCAAGAGATTAACATTTGAATCAGTAGCGTGAGTAAAGAAGATCCACCTTCACCAATGTGGGTGGGCCTCATCTAATCCATTAGGGGCTTGAATGGAACAAAAAGGCAGAGGAAGGGAAAATTCTCTTTCTCTCTTCTTGAGCTGGTATGTCCATCTTCTTCTGCCCTCAGATACTGGAGCTCTTGATTAGAGCAGTCTACCTGGCAGTAAATTTCTTTGTATGGCCTATACAAAGTATAGGAGTAATTTTTCTTTTTTTAACACTTTTTGTTTTGTTTGGCATTCTTAGTGAAGTTCTTTATATTGGAAAGATTTTAGATTTACAGGAAAGTTGTAAAGATAGCATGGAGATTTCCCATATGATCTTTACCCAGTTTCCCCCAATGTTAACATCCTACACAACCATGGCTTGCTTGTCCAAACTATGCAACCAACTTTGGGACATTACTATTAACTGTATTTATAAACTTTACGAGGATTTCCCCAGTTTTTCCAATAATGAGATTTTTCTGTTCCAGGATCCCATCCAGGACACTACATTGCATTTAGTTATTATACCTCTTAGTCTCCTCTGCACCATGACAATTTCTCAGAATTTCCTTGCTTTTTGTAAGCTTGACAGATTTTTTTTAGAATATCCCTCAACCTGGATTTGTCTGATGCTTTCTAATGATGAAAATGCAGATATGGGTTCTGGAGAAGAAGTCCTCAGAGGTGAGGTGCCCTTCTCACCATGTCCTATTAGGAGTCCATGATTTCCATATGACTCATCCCTAACGATGTTAACCAGGGTCACTTGGTAAAGGCCGCATCTGTTTCGTTTCTCCACTGTTAATCATTTCTTGCGTTGTGTGACCATGGGATTTTTTTTTTTAAAGTATCAGTTTTCAAAATACCTAACGTGGTATTTCTTTCTTTTTTTATTGAGTTCCTTTTTTGTTTTCAATTGATTTCTAATTCAACTTTATCTTTGTTATTTTCTCCCAGAAAAAAATCCTTAAATACCATATTTCTCATAGAACTCTCCTGCTTAAACCTTCAGGTTATTCTTGGTTGGGATAAAAGGAAACCCATATTTTGAGCATCTCCAAGGTGTGAGGGAAAGTAATAAATATTTTATATACATTTCTTACTTACATTTCACAAGAGCTCTCTAAATGAAATATTAACAGACCATTTTATCAAATGAAGAAACTAATTTTCCCAAGGCCATAGTTAAAGACAGTAAGTAATAAAACAGGTGTGAGAGAACCTAGATTCTTTACCCAAAGACTCAAGATCACCCACAGACTTTTCAAATTTGTCTTTGTCACTCTACTACATGCGCCCACTCCCACCCACCCCCCAAAAAGAAAGGTCTATGCCCTGCACTCTAAGCATTCCCTAAACATCAGTGTCTTGAACATTCACTCCTGCAAGCCCCTATTCTCCAAGTGGCCACCCCAAATATCACTCAACCTCCAAGCTGAAGCCTACCTCCTCCAGGAAGCTCCCACTGAATACGACGCCCACAGCCACATCTTCTCCCTGGTACTGAGTGTGTTTTCTAGCATATTCACTAGCACTAGATGATGGTCTTCACGCCCCTGCATCCAGCTTGTTAAAACAGGGTTAGTCCATCCATTCACCCTGCCATGGAGAGTACACAAGTTCCAGCCCTGATTAACAATGCTTACACGAGGAAACCCCCAGGAATGGTCTCTGGCCTCTTGGCTGGAGCCATGCATTATGTCCTTCTCACCACATCCCACCTCCTGACTTTGACCCCCTCCTATGGCCTCCCCTTGCATTCGACTGCACGCCCATGCAAAGTCAGCCAACCACCAAGGTAGAGGGAGCAGGCCTCAAGACTGTTATCACTTTTTTTTTTTTTAAGATTTTATTTATTTATTTCAGAGAGGGAGTGTGTGAGTGCAAGCATGAACAGGAAAAGGGCAGAGGGAGAAGCAAACACCCTGCTGAGCATAGAGCCCAGTGTGGGGCTCGATCCCAAGACCCTGAGATCATGACCTGAGCTGAAGGCAGATGCTTAGCCGACTGAGCCACCCAGGCACCCCAGATTGTTATCACTTCTGATGCTAATTGCAAGATCTGGGGGGTTTCCCCAGACCACTCTATAATTCTATAGAAGGACTCACAGATCTCACAGAAAGCTGGTTTTCTCCCAGTTATGATTTACTATAGTGAAAGAGTACACATGGAAATCAGCAGAGGGAAAAGACGTACAGAGATGCATGTGGGAAAACTGCAAATGCAGAGCTTCCAGGTATCCTCTCCCTCTTTGGAGACATGGACAGTATTATATTCCCAGCACTGATGTGTGACAAATCACAGGGATTACTGCCATGCAGGAACACTCACCTGAGATTTGGGGTCTAGAGTTTTCATGGAGACTCCATCATGTAAGAATGACAGACTGACCATGTGGCTGACCTCAGTCTCCAGCCACTCAGGAAGACAAGCTACTACCGCATGACCCAAAGCCCCTACCTTCTGTCACTTTGTTAGGTTTTCTGGCATGCCCAGCACCCCCACCCTAAATCACAGTGTCACACAACCCAGTGACCCAAAGCCCCCGAGGCAAACAGAGATACCCCTGTCTCAGGACATTCCAAGGGCTTAGAGGTCACTTCCAGAAGCTAAGGGGCAAGGGCCAGATCTCTTTTTGAACAAGATTAAATTCTAGACTACACTGTTGGGTATCTCTTACTATCTTGAGGACCTTCCTCCTCTTTTTTGACACTTAGCTCTGAGTATGTTTCTTACCACAACCAGAACATGTGTGTGTATTCAGACACTCAGACATTTACAATGATGTTTCCACAGTGCTAGGATTATGGTTGGTTTTTTTTGTTTCTCATTTATACTTTTCTACTATATCCACATATCCTACAAAAATGCTTGCTTCAATAATCAGGATGGGAAAACAGGTTTTAATGAGGCTTTTTTTTTTTTTTTACATGTTGCCTATCCAGTTTTGTTCACTATGAACTATAAGATTTGTCCACTCAATAAGTCACTGATATAATATTTGGAGGATTGCACGTGCTTTTTCCTCCCATGAATTATGTGAAGAATCACTAAAAAGGATATGTTAAGAATAATGTAAACTCTACTTGCTAATTAGAACTAGGCATGTTTTAAAGTCAAATGCCCTAAGTACACACCTAAACAGCATCAGCCCGCACAAGAGACATGTATATGTAAACACAACCATATGTAGGTGTCGATACGGAGACGCGTGGATTGTGTCACCCAAATAAGATGCTTCAGCCGGTATGACCACGGGAGTACTCTCCTATTTGTCTTATCCAAATTTCTTCTCTGCCCGTTCAATGGTGCTACTTCTCACTACAGCATGCACTGTCAAAGGAGACAATGGAACCCCTAAGGGACCAAGACTGAATCTTAGGGGTGAAAGAAATCTTAGGGTTTTTATGTATAAAGCACAAATATGCACGCGGTACCTAAAAAGATAAACAACGTAAGTACGGTATTAAACTTACATGGGAGGGAAATGGTACAATTAGAAAAGAAAATGTCCAAAAAAAAAAAAAAATGAAAGCAACTCCTTTGTGAAGCCTTATCTTCCTCAACCTTAACTGAGAACTCCTTACTTTGACACTAGAATTTCTTGAATTTACTTCAGCCATAACCATAACAGCATCGAAAGGAGGTCATGGTGCCTCCCCCTCCGTGTGAAGCTCACCAGAGCTTCCTTGTAATTATCTCTCTATTTGCAAGAAACCAGCACTGTCTGTAGCACCTGGGAAGCACTACATAATCATTTCATGAATAAGTAAACCAGCTAAGAACAAAAGGTTAACAATAAAAATAACTCACAAGTATTGAACATTGACAAGGGGCCAAAGACGGTTCTGATTATCTCCTAAATCCTCACAGCACCCCTATGAAGGAGACTCTGGGGTTCCCATTCTCCTTTTATAAACAAGAAAAGTGACACACAGAGAACTTAAGCCAAGTTTCCAAGCCGGCTCAGTTAGTAAGTGGAAGACCCAAGGACAGATCCAGGAGCCTAAACATCGCTCCACTTCTCCGTATCAGCACATCATCGTTATTCCTGAGAGCAATCCAGCGCTTGGAAGAAGTATTCTTTATGCTAAGAAAGAATAAACATACCCTTCATAAATAATACAAAAACAAGCAACAGCTTCTACAGAGTGGAGAGCTACTGCCAAGGAGCCTGGAGTATGCTGGCCACTAATAAAACATTTTTAAATGTACTCTAATTGGAATACAATAAGGAAAATTAATAAATGATTCTGAAACAGAGAGCAAGTAGAAACAATTATTATATTTTTGCATGTATTGAGAACCCATAACAGTCCCACTGTCGGGCTCACAAAATCCATTCCGCGTGCTATGAGGTGTAGTTTTAACCACTGGTAGACATGTCAATCTACATTTTGTTGGACCACTGTTTTAATCTGGTAGGGTCTGCCTCTGAGAGATTTAAAAAAAAAAAAAGTCAAATAAAATAACACACAGGTTCTCAGTAATTCCATATACTGTGCTTGACGGCAATGCTAGACCCCTACATATGACTCGACCAGAGCATTCGCACGCAATAAATTCCAGGCACGCATAACCGCAGGTATTAATGTCCCATACTTCTGCCTGGTTTTCAATCAAATCTTTGCTATAAAATAGAAGACAATTCCAGACGGTCCTGTGTTTAGCTTAGAGTCTATTATTTCTGCCACATGAGCTGTTCTTCAACAGAACACAGTCACTTTGGAAAGTTCTTATTTTGCTAAACGTGTCCCTGAGCAAATTTCTAAATAATTATAGTCCCTCAAAAATGAGAACTTTTATGCCATGAAATTCAACCAGTGGGAAAACTGCTTTCAGTTGTCCCAGGCTTGTTGCAAAGGACTGTTCTGGTTTTACATTTAATGCTTCTCAGTTTTGTACCAAGCCAATATTCAGAGTTTTGAAAATTAGCTTTATATGGTGATCACTGGTCTCCTTCCACATTTTCTAAAAACTACATCACTAGCTCCACTCTGTGTGAATAAATCTAGAGCTTCAGCTATGACTGATAAACCGTGATTCTCATGTCAATGGTAATTCTAACAATAGATGTTTGTGCTACAATTTATAGCTACAGAGCTTTTTACACGTGTTGCTGAACTTATTCTCAGAAGAACAGAAGCTATCGGCACTGCTATGATCTGTCAGACAAGGTTCCGGGGAGAAATATCACTTACCAGAGGTAGTGCGTCAAGGTAGAGTAAGCTGCATCTACAAACAGATCCAACGTGGTGGCTCAGACATGGTCACTTCCGTGCACAGTGTAGAGCTTGTGTTGAGGGGCAGCGGAAACCTCCGCTCCACACGGTCATTCAGGGATCCAAGCTGTCATGCCTCTACCAACTTCAACTCACATCTTGCACTGACCCTCTGGGCATCAGCACCTGCAGTTGGCTGGAAGGAAGTGGAGGGGGGTACATCTTGTGAGAGAATTCCATAGTTATGCCTAGCACATTGACTTCTGCTCACTTCTGGGAGCACCTGGTCAGCTGGGCACACCTAACTATGAGGAAGACTGGCAACGGACATGGCTGGGTATATGGAAGAAGGGGTGGGCAAACGGTCTCTCCCACAGCTAAGGAAGAGCCCGAGCAGGACTGAGCCAAGTTCTTCTGACTCAAATCCTGTATCTTCTCTCTACCCATCCCTGCCTGAATGCCTGGACTTAATTAAAGTATCATTGGATCAAATGGACCGCTTCCTCATGACAAACATTTTTTCATAGGGGATATAGCCATCGCTGTGTTCAGGCCAACACTCTACTAGCCAACATTTTCCTCCAGGAGGAAATTGGCTTTTTATCTCTTGAGAACACGATTGATCCCCAAGGGCTAAGACTTCAGTGCAAATCTAAGCTATGGGACAAGCAGATAGAATGAACCGTGTCAGGAGTGTAAGGTTTGGCGGCAGGTGCTGCTTATTTGGTCCTGCCCAGGGTTTGCAGCACTAGAATCCTGGATTCTGTAGATATGTGTAAGTAGGTACCCACTGGGACCTACCCTGTAAGAGTGGGCAGCCTCTGTAGGTCATGAGATCTTGTAGAAATGAAGGCATTTGTCCAAGAGAAATAAAAACACATGTCCCCACAAAAACTCATAAACGGATGTTCATAGCAGCATTTTTCATAAGAGTCAGTATGTGGAAAAACCATAAACGTCCACCAACCAGTGAATGGATAAGCAAAATGTGTTCCATCCACGTAATGGAATACTATTTGGCCATAAAAAACGATGAAATTCTGACAGGTGCTACAATGTGGATGAACCTCAAAGACATTATGCACAAAGAAGCCAGACACAAAAGGTCACATATTGTAGATGCCATTTACATGAAATGTCCAGAGGAGCCAAATCTAGAGAGACAGAAAGCAGACTGACTGGTGGTTGCCAGGGGCTGGAAGAGGGTGGAATGGAGATTGACTGCTGATGGGTAGAGGCTTTCTTTTGGGGGGAATGAAAATATTCTAACATTGTGGTAATGGATGCACAACTCTGTGCATCTACTAAAAAACACTGAGTTGTAGAATGTGGCTGTGTGAATTGAATGGCATGTGAATTCCATCTTAATGAAGGTGTTATAAAGAAAAGAAATGAAGTCCTATCTCAGGGGCATGCAGTGAGCTTGTTCCAAAGGGACAAGGAAGGGGCCCTGGAGGGCCTCCAGAGTGCCTCAGGATTCCCTTAGCAACATGGCCAAGGAAAGTTGTAGCCACATAGCCATGGTACCAGTGACATTCCATGAAATGGGAATCCACAACACATTCCTTCTGTACATCCTCAGCTTCCTTCTTTATATGCTGAGTGCATGCAGCCTGAGCAGCTAGGAGGCAGACCAAAGACCACAGACCTCATGCCCCTCATGGCGTTTTCCCCTTGCAAAAATCTTTCAGAATAAAACTCTCTCCTAAGTCTGGATTTGGTTTCTGTTTGTTTGTTTTTATTTGTTTCGTGTCTTGACACCCAAACCCACACGGGGCTCTCAGGATTAAATTGACAAGTGGTTCCTCCCAACACCATCATTAGTTCCTACCCTGGCCTACTTTCCTCAACACTGATGGAACTGATTTGTCGATACACCTCCTTGCTCCATCTGTGGAGCTCCGTCCATCCTCTGTTTTCTTGTAACGAGTTGAATTACCACTGATAATCAGATTCTCAAAACACAGCAATCCTTGGAGAAGCTTTTTGATTTGGGTCTTTTGGAAGAAGGTAAAAGGACTTTTTCGGTGATGAGAACTGTGACTTTCTGCCACACGGTGGGTTACAGAGGATACACCTTGTGTTCTCACATGCCCACCAAGCAATGCTTAAGCAAGCTGTAGAGGGAGCCATGTCCCCTCAGAGCTGGCTGGGGTTTTCTCTTTGTCCTTTCTTCTCTTTCCCCAGCTAATCTGTACCCAGAACTCTTCCTTTTTACTGAGTTAGTTCCTATTTGGCATTTTCTTGAAATGCTGAGTGTTTATCCATGCATTTCTAGCCAGGTCTTCCCACCACACAGGGACAGGGATGATGACCATAACTCCTTTGTATTATGTGCACTGATGTTCCTCCAGGGTAGTCTTTTGGGTTGTTGGCTTTAACCCCTTCCTGCTCTATATTCTGTGGGCTGTTCTAAGGAAAGAAACACGTCCGACAGCCATCACTTCAGTCTCCTGAAAATTTGACTCTGCGTGGAGGAACTGAATGTTTGGGAGCTCTTTGCCAGGTTCTTCATCTGCCTCATTTTCCTAAAGCCACAACTGTTCTAACCACACAGAAATAAGTGGCTCACATTAGCGTGCCTATTCTGGTAACTTTATCAAGAACTGTATTCTAGGAAGTGAATAGTGGACCTACATCTATATTATAGGCAGTTTCTGGGCTTTATTTACAAACAGAGTGCTTTAGACAAAGTCTTTTGCGTAATACAAATAGCAAGTGATTATTCTCAAATGGCCATAATACTCCCAGTCAAAAGCTCTTTCAACTGAAATGGCATTAGCATACATCTTATTTTCCGGAAAATGTATTGGAAACTGCAGGAGAAAGGTCCATTCTCTCTGCATTTGGGAGAACTAAGCTACTGAATAAAGAGGAAAACCGAGTCGTTACTGAAAGACCTGATTCTCTACTTTGGAGAGGTTTGATAACTCAGTTCCAGAAGTGAGTCTTGGGCTCCTTTGTGTTTGGAGTGAGGCACTGATGAAGCAGGCAGGAATAAAACATTGAATAAGATATGGTCCCTTCTCTAAGGACATTTATAATCTTCTTTTATGAACATTCCAGCCAAGAATTCCCAACCACCATGTGAGGGGATGACACATTTCAAAGTTTGGGTTTGTTTCTTTCTCCCCCCCTCCTAATACCATCCAAATTTAGTGCCTTCACCAACAAAATGATGATATCCACTGGGACCCAGACAATAGTCAAAAGAATGGAAAGCTGAATAACTTTGTCCTCCGTGTGATATCTGCTCGATTATTTAAAAAAAAAAAAAAAGAAGAAGAAGAAGTAGATGACTATTTTTGCACTAAATAGTCACAGTCCAAGGCTCTCTGCTTTGATCTAAGGCTCTTTGGGGTCACTGAAGTGTCATTTGGAAAATTGCTTCCTGACGCATAATATTATGGTAATGATCCCCTAAAGCCTGGCACAAAGGCTCTGCCATGAGAGCCAACAATTTATTTTCTTCCAAGTATTGTTTTAAAACAAGAGGCAGCTGGGGGTCAAGAGAGAGGCTCTGGGTTATAACAGGCTTAATGCGACCCTTGGAATTTTTTTAACACGCTTGGGAGGAGAAAGATTGTTCAGAAATACTCATTTACAGAACCAGTTCAAGAGACACAGAAAAGATACATTTCTCTTACATCTGAGCACACAATTATAAGCTAATAACAATATAAATAAGGAGAAGAGAGGAAGGTGTTAGAATTTTGGGGGTGAGGTTAGAAGCCGAGAGACCTAGATTCAAACCCCAGCCTTGCCTCTCATTGATTATATCCTTTTGGTTTACAAATCAAGCTTTTTGAGCTCAGCCACCTCAGACAGAGCAGAACGACCTGCCTCAAAGACAGGGGTGAAGTTTAAATGCAATATTGTGAGCTAAGAAACAAATATACAGTGTATGTACATAGACTAGTCTATGTGTATAGTTTATGTACATAGTGTAAACTTAACAACTGTACTGATCATTGCTAGTATTACTGTTATACAGGAGTTATACACAGGGCCAGGTACCATGCTCTGCTCCACATCTGAGATAGGTAGTGTGATGTACATTTATTTTGTCTAGGCTATGGTGCCCAGTATTCGGCTGAACACTAGGCTAGGTGTTGCCATGTGAAGGTGTATTTTAGATGTGACTACATTTACATCAGTAGACTCTGAGTAAAGCAGATTATCCTACATAATGTGGTTGGGTGGGGAGTGGATGGGGGCCGAGGGTGGGTCTTATCTAATCATTTGAGGGGCTTAGGAGCAAAGACTGAAGTTTCCCAAAGAAGAAACAATTCTTTCTCAAGACTGCAGCATAGAAACCCTGCTGAATTTCCAGCCTTCTGGTCTGCCCTGAAGATTTGGGGCTTGCCAGCCCCTACAATCACGAGCCAGTTCCTGAAAACAATGAGAGAGAGAGAGAGAGAGAGAGAAATACAAATATAGCTGTCTACAGAGACAGAGACAGATCTCTCTCTATGGAGAGATCAATAGGGCCAACAGAATTATAGTTATCTCTATAGTATGGATCTGTCTAGACAGATGATAAATAGATAGATCCAATAGAACTATAGTTATCACCCTATAGACAAAGATAGGTTGGATACACCTATGCACCTGTCTTTCTACCTAGGGAGATCTGTCTCTGGCTCTCTCTACAGATAGACAGGGCTATGGATGGATAGGCATAGATATACCTACACCTGTGTACCTCCATACCTCTTATCTGGGGATATCCTATTTGTTCTGTTTCTCTAGAGAACCTGATTAATTCCGGCAGGGAGAGCCACAGGTAAATAGGCTATCGGAATGCTCTGTGACGGGTCTCACTAGGAGCGCCACGTAATGCTGTCTTTGAAGGACTGGATGACGCTGCCCAAAAAGAGGGTTGAAAATGAGAACACCCTTTAATGGGTAGATACCAGGGGAGGATCAGCTAGAGGATTTAGAAGATATATAAGTTATGTGGGGTATGAGGCCAAGCAAGACAAGGGGGAGAGCTTTCCCAAGGGAAGGAGGGTTCATCTGACGGGAGCGCTAGAAAGCGTACATCAGAGAGAGGAATACGTGCAGTGGGGAGTTCAGCCAGGTGTTACTATGGCACAAAGACTAGATGCAGGGTGTGGCCGTGGAGGTGGCTGGAGAGGAATGAAGGAGCAGATCCTGAAGGGAGAAGACCAAGAATTCCAACAAGCGCGACTCCCATGAACCTCTCAGGGTCCAGATCTGTGGCTGTCCCTGGGAGAGCACTGCAGGGCGGGGGCGGCCCCAGGGAAGAGCCAGGCAGTGGAAGAAAGGCTGAAAACATGGAAGTGTTTGCTCATTGCAGAACAGATGTCCCAGACGGAGAAGAGTAGTGAGAGGCTGGGTCAGGAGCCTGGAGGATGGTGGGGACCGAGAGTTCAGGAGACGTAGTTGTGATGGCCAGATGGGTCCACCTCCCGGGCAGGGATCTGGGGAGCCCTAGTCTATGGTCTCAGTGGAATCACCCAGGGAGCTTTACAAATACTGCTGCCAGGGTCCCACCCCAGAAATGCTGTGGTTACTAATGTGGGGTGCAGCCTCAAGCTGAGAATGTTCAGAACAAGCTGCCCACGTCACGCTCACGTCCAGTCAAGGGTTAAGAACTATCCCAGTCCAACTGCAGGTCAGGAGAACTTTACTTCCCAGGACTCTCACACTTACAGGGAGTAGCTGCTTTCCCTGGCAGTAGGGGGAACTCCAGGTGCTTGGGAGGATGTTTACCTTACTTGGCCTGAGATCATTGCAATTCTGAGTGTGTTCTGACACCCACGGATGAATAAACTCTGTGTTCTAGATGGGGTCCTCTGGAGTATGGGCTGCTTAACCCTGGAGTCAAGAAAAAGTTCTAGGTTCAAAACAAGTGGCCTGAAAACTCTCAGGCAGAGGGTCCTTTTTCTGAGTCTTCTGGGAAAATCAGAGTATAGAATTCTCACTTTATACTTGAAAAAGCTGCAGTCTCTGGTATTTGGGGGATTCCAGACTTTCCGAAGGGAACCATCCATAGTCCATGAGGTAGCCATTATCATCTCGGTTTTAAAGATGAAGAAACCAAGAAATAGAGAGGAAAAGCAAATTATCTCTGGGTTATCCATCTAGTACACTGAATAGTACGTTACTTATATATTGCGAAACGGATCACTGGGGGGCTATCCAAGTCTGTCCCCACAAAAAGCCAAGACCTGAGTTCTTAGTTAACTCCAAAATCAAGGATATGGGCATTGATTCAATAAGCCCATCTGAAATTTGTTTTTTGAGGAGACAAAAGAAAGAGACAAACTTAACTGATATTGGAAGCATGAGTTTTATCTGCCACCGGAGTGTGGAGAAATCTTACCATGAAGATCCCCACACATTTGAGGGGAACTGACTTCTCTGTCCCTTGTACAACAGAACTCTAGATCTACGACATGGTTTTGACATTCGAGGAAGGTAAGGTGTGAATCTCCTGACCACAGCTTAGAGTCTACGATCCGTAGACCAATGGTGGTGCCAAGCCATCCTCTGCGGAGAGAGGTTGGATTTATCCATCAACCTGTAAGGCTGGGGTTGGCTGGCTTAATATGGGGCTGTGTCCAAGGAGTGGAGGGGGTAAATGGTGATCAGATTCCGTCTCTTTCACGCCTTGCATGTCCAACAGACTATCCTTCGTCATCACCAAAGTCTTGCTCACGTATCAGTAGCGGCCAACGTTGTCCACTCACTTCCGGGATTAACTGAGACCAGCAACTCCCCAAATACACTGACTGTCTTTCCTAAACATCAGACAGCTTTGTTCCTAAAGCACCCTGTGAGGAGAAGGCTGTGGGGTCCCTGTGAGCAGAGCGGGTATGAATGGCTCCAAAAGCACCCAAACGGTGAGGTATATGATTCTAAATCTTGCTGCTCACATAAATTTTCCTTAAAGATATTTGTTCTGAAAATGGGTGTAGGCGCTGCATCTCATTGTGTATAGACAGAAGGACAGCCTGGTGGTCCACCTCCAGCAAGCCCACGTGTGTCACTGCCTCTTGGAGGCTGCACCAAGAGACTGACTCTCTCTTGGTGAGCAACCAAGTGGGTGTGAAGACATGTCCCCACGGAAGGCCCATTCTGCGAATAAAGGCAGATCTCACCTGCTCTTTGGAACAGATCTCTTTGCAGAAGCTAATCAGCCCTTAAACCCTAGTACAACTGTGGGACACAATCTACTGTATCTGGTAACACTGAAGATGGAATCATGCTTCTAAACACGGAGTACTTTCCTTTGTCTAAGCAAATCTGAATTTAAAAAAAAAGAGTATCAGGGACGCCTGGGTGGCTCATTCGGTTAAGCGTCTGACTTTGGCTCAGGTCACGATCCCAGGGTCATGGGATTGAGTCCCACATCGGGCTCCTTGCTGAGCAAGGAGCCTGCTTCTCCCTCTGCTTGCCTCTGTCTCTCTCTCTCTCTGATAAATAGAATCTTAAAAAAAAAAAAAAGTATCAGTTAAAAGTCTTTTTCCATCAATAGATCTTTTTTATTGTAGCTCTTATCAATAGATTTTTGACTTAACACTACATAACAATGGAGCTGCCATTCATGAGTCATGTAGCTATTTTGTAAAATCAGGTTTTGGAAGGTATGCTGTTATGTAAAACTCAAAAGTTTATACAATAATTACTCTGTGTTATGTAACGTTGTGGAACGCATGAAGGTATGTGCAAAAGGCCTCTTGAAATTCATATTTCTTTTGGGCAGAAAAAAATCATTTTGGAGACTCCTGTTGGTGGGAAGTGGGCCCGTCGGCAGATGGACCCTGGACTCCGGCAAAGCTCAGAGTAGAAAGACTGTAGCTCCGGCTGGGATATGGCGGCATGCAGAATAGGCGAGGCTGTCTGAGTTGGGCGTTTTTGCGTTCCTCTTCTAAAATGGAATTGCCCACGAGAATAATTACTCATCTTTTCAAAGAAGGGAATAATCAGTGCTCTCCATGTGGCTCCAAACTCAGATGTCCAGGATCTAATTTAGACACTAACTCAACCAGCCCAACTTTTTATCCATAAAGGTGGACTAAAAGAAAAGAGAGGAAAACTTGTAGGATGAGTGGGGTCTAGAGGTGTCAGAGAAGTTCCTGGATTTGGCCCCTGCAAGGGTCAAGGTCACTCCACGGACAAGATGGTGGTCCAAGCTCATGGCGTGGGCCGGTGGATCCATCCACACAGGCTACAGCCGACGGTGCCCCTGCAGCTGTGGTGTGGCTCCTGGTATAATTCTGGGCATGAAAACACTCAAGGAGACTTGAGAATAGCCTTTCTGAAGCAAGGTTAGACATCATTCTCTCAGCTACTTCCTGAGGGAATTCTGAATGCAGGTTCCATCAAAAAAGAACAATACAGCAACAAAGGGACATCCTACTACTGTTTATTTAGAGATTTCAACCCACCTTACACCCTTTGGATGAAAATTACAGTTTCGCATGTACCTACCGTTCCAGGAGCCAGAATATCAAGGTGAAAACCCTCCCCTCTGATTGTCTGAGCATGGAAAACAAACAAAATAATTAGTGACTCGAAAGGCATTTCAGACATTGGCTCACATGTAGCCATACAAAACAGGGAAGATTCTGTTTGTAAATTCCAATCATTACCTAGAAAGACTTTAAGGATTCATATCCTAGGCAACAGAAATGTGCTCTGTAAAAGAAATCTTCCTACATGCTTTTCTATATTTATATATAGTTAAGCTTGCGTTTAAACAAATGAGGACTTTCTTACCTCTCTGCCCAGTGGTCCTTCAGCAAACCAGCTTCCTGTTCTCCAAGTCACTCCACGAATGGGCAGAAAGAACTGGATCCCATCGTGGAGACCACACGCTGCCCCTCATCTAAGAGACATGGAAACTTTCATACCAAGCCTTCCAGTTGTAGGTACTAAGGTATTAGCTGCTATTATCTTACAGGAGAGAGCTTTGTGCGAGACATCCTTGTCCCACAAATAGGAAACTGGCTTCCGTGACTGAGAATCAAGAGTATGCAGTCATGGAGTTGGTTCCCCATTAACAGACCATTTCTATGTTGACACGCATCTTTTCTGGTTTGAAGAATAATCAGTGGAATAAATTTGAGACTGGATTTACTGCAGTCGTTGGATAAAATATTATTTTCTTTCATTGCACTCTGAAGTTATGATTTTGGACCCTCTGGTCATCAAGGCAAAGGATATAAACTAATTGCAAACTCTCAGGAACACCAAAGCTAGAACATCCCACGGACTGCCACCTGAGACCTTTGCTTGGGGCTCTCCGTGTGATGCTGCTCGTTGGTTAGTGATTTGATGAACTGAAGGCAAGGAGGAAGAGTCTCTACTAACTGATGCTAAAATGCTGAGTCCCTTATCCTCCCAGACCATGCAAAGCTCCACCACAGCAAAGGAAGTCAGCACAATGAAAAAAGTGTGAGATCCACAGTGAGAATATGAATGTGAGCACCATCATTTTGCAATACGGTGACCATGGATTTGGTAGGGAGATGTCAAAGGACTTCTGGGAACGTGTTTGGGTTCCAGGCCCAGGTAACCTTCTCCTCTAGCAAAATGCATCGTCTTTCCCACGAGCTTGGACCCTGAAGTTTGGGGGCCAGAGTCTCGGGATGTCGTGAAGCAGTATTTCTCTGATGAGTCCTCATGCAGCAAGAAGCAAGTCAACAGTGCTTCAAGGACATGCAGCATTCAGTGAATGGGCTGATGGCCACGGGTTCAAGAAACCTTCAGTAGGAGAGAAATTTACTCTAACCTCCATCTACCTTCTTCATTTTTCAAACCCAATTCTGCAGAATACACTATAACCCTCAGTATATCCTGAGATGCTACATCCTGGAGGCCTTTTGGTGCTTCAGTGATGTCTTTGGTGGAGCCCAAGATAGTTTTTATGTTGAATTCCATCTGCAGTGGGGGCAGTACCATGTAGAGTTCTTTCTAAAAGAAAAGAGGGGAGAACATGAATCAACAGTGGAAACATGGATTTGTTTCTCCCTCTGTCATTAACATTTGGGAATAAAAAAAGTAGCCAGTGGTTTAATTTTAGTCTTCATTAATTTTTAATAAATTTGTACCACTGTCCAGATTTAAATCACCACTAAGGACTGAGAACGCAGCAATAATTGGCTCAATTTAGGTCAGACGTTGGTAATGATGTTTAAACAAAGATTATGTAACAAAAAAAATGAATGACAATGATCCTCTCAGAGCCTCTCAGATTAAGGAGAGGCTTAAACAACAACAACAAAAGAAAAGCACAGAAGATACAACAAAAGAAGAAAAAAAAACCTTTCAAGAGTCAATTCTGGGCCATCTTAGTCAAGGAATACTTTTACAGATTGGGATGATCAGTCATGACAAAACTAAGAAGTCCCTATGAGCAAAAAGGTAGGACTTCTGATACAGCAGAAAATGTGAATTGCATTCCACAATCTAGGTTTCCTGTGTCTTGATAAAACTGCATCCACTTTCCAATACCAAGTCCATTCACTGACCTCATGACCTCTGAACTTCAGATGTCCAGGCCTGGACCTCAGAATAACTGCTAAATAGGATTGCTTGTTAAAGATCTGGAGAAGCTCAAAGCAGACACCTCCATGATCACCTATCAAGGAACAGGTGGGGACGATGCGCATCGTTAGACAAGAAATAAAGCGTCAAGACTTATGGCTGTGATTTACTTCTAGATTAACATTATATCCTTGAAAATTTAGTGTAAACTGTAACGTTATAATAATTTACGTCATGTTGTCTGACAGTATATGATATGTAGGTTATCTTCCAAATTATGCCTCCTTGCAGCTAAATCAGCAGGCATTTGGTAGGAAAAATCAACATACTGTGATTAAAATATTTCAACATAAATACGATGCAGGATCTTTAGGAAGTACCTTCCTATATTTTGCTTAGTTCTTTAATCAAGGTTGGTTACCGCCCCTCCCACACATACATCTCGATAACACTTAGTAAATAAGATGCTCTCTTCAGCCTTTCCTAGACATATTAGTGAAGGGAATAGAAGGAAACTGCAAATTATACGGTTCTGGATCCTTGGTAAGTTTGTTCCCCAAAATCCCTGGAAATATAAAATAAAAGTGAAAACTAAGCTGCTATCACTTTGGACAAAAAGAGGCATATGCTTGTAATGGGGGTCACTTTGTAGGTACAAAAGGCGTAAGTAAGAAATGGAATTCAAGGGTGAAAAATACATTAATAAAAAAAATAGGGTCACCAAAGTAATCATGCGTGAGATACTCTTTTGCTTAAAAAACTGATTGGGTAAGTGTGATCCTACATGTGGTACCTGCATATAAGCGCTTAATGTGTGTTTTAAAATGTACATGTTCTAACAACCGTTCTATTGAAAGATGAAACATAGCATCAGGTCTCCTGCTTTGCTAGCCCTTCTTAGAGACAGATTAGGGCATTTCCTGGTCCCTGCTGCAAACCAGGAGTTATAGACAGACTAAAATAAGCAGAGATCTCAGCAGTTTTGGCTGGTCCTGACCAATGGTTTCAAGGAGAAAGGCACTCTCTAACATTGGTATTACTGTTATGTTTAATGCTTCATTTATTTTTATCTTCTTTATTATTTTTCAATATGTGTTTTTAATTTCCTCATAAAGTCTTTTCACCAATTTTATTCTATTCATTACTAATTCCTCATATTTGTGTGCCTCTGTGAAAGGTCTTTTCTAAAAATGTGTGTTCTAGTAGTTGCCAATATACCAATACACAAGTGATTGTGAATATTTACGTCATATCAAGCAACTGTGATAAATAGTTTTTCAGGTTCTTCTCACTGGTTTGAACAATTTATCCAAGTATTCTTTGGGGTTTGAGGTTTTCTACGTAGACAATGAATAAGCTCTGAAGGATAACAGCTCCTTCCTTTATAACCTTCATAGATTTTAATTTCTTCTCATTTGTTCGTACCTCCAATACGAAGCTGAATAGAGGTGGTAATAAAAAAAAGCATTCTTTTTTTTTAAAGATTTTATTTATTTATTTAAGAGAGAGAGAGAGAGAGAGAGAGCACAAGTGGAGGGTGGGGAGAGGGAGAAGCAGACTCCCCGCTGAGCAGGGAGCCCGATGCAGGACTCCATCCCAGGACCCCGGGATCGTGACCTGAGCCGAAGGCAGATGCTTAACCGACTGAGCCACCCGGGCACAAAAATACTTTTACCTTTGCACTATTAAATATATTTCAACTCAGTTTGATTTTTTAATGTTTAAAAAGATTTTATTTATTTATTTATGTGAGAGAGAGCGAGCGAGCACGGGGAAGAGCAGAGGAAGAGGGAGAAGCAGACTTCCCGCTGAGTGTGGGGCTGGACGCAGGGCTCGATCCCGCAACCCCAAGATCATGACTGCAGCCAAAATCAAGAGTCAAGAGCACCACTGACGGAGCCACTCAGGCACTCCTCAACTTGGTTTTGTTTTAAACAGATATTTATCAGAGTAGGAAAGTGGCTCACTATCCCTAATTGGTAAGGATCTCTTTGAAAAACAAAGTCAGGAATAAATACTGACTTTATCAAACGCTTTTTCTTAATCTATTAAAATGATCATATAGGTTTTTTTTCTGGTGATTAACAGGCTGATCTTTCTAATGTTAATCCAGCTTTGTATTTCTAAGATAAACCAAATTTTCCCATGATGTGATTATTATTCTTTATATACTGGTAGATTGCTTTGTTGCTATTTTAAGACGTTCATTCCTAGATTTAACAAAATGTATTCTCCTTGGGTAACTTGGTTATTAAAGTTATAGCTAGTCTCATAAAATGAGTTAAGTTTCTTATTTTTCTAGTCTCTGGAAGAGTTGTATTGGTTTGGAATTAATTGCTGATTGTTAGAATCAACATATAAAAACCCTGTGGGCATAGGCCTTAGAGTTTTTTAAAATTTATGTTTCTTCTTAAGTTACTTACATCTTTCTAGGATTTTGAAAATTTACATTTTTTTAATTTATTGGTGTGCAGTTGTTAATACTATCATTTTATTGTCTTCTTGATCTTGGCAGTTTCTATATTTTTTTCTTTTTTTATTCTGATAGTATATTTAATCACTCTCTGTCATATTCTCTGTCTCTATTAATCAATCTTGCCAGAGGTTTTTCTGTCTCACTATTTTATTCTTTCTACTTTGGAGAAGTTTAATCAGTTGTTTTTTCCCTGATGCCCTGTGCTAGATGTTCAACTCACTGATGTCCGTCTTACATTCTTTTCTAGTATCAACACCTAAGCTTTTAAATTTCCCTTTAGATCCTTCTCTACAGTCTCTCCCATTTTTAAAGTATATAGTATTATTGTTTATCTATATCTTCTGTCCCATTATGATCTCTTTTTTGACCCATGAAATAAAAAAAAAAAAACGCGTGCTTTAAAATTCAGAATATGGAGGTTTTCTATTTATCTCTTTGTTCTTGATTTCTAACTTAATACATTATATAGAGAGAACGTGACTTATATGACACCAGCCTGATGAGATTTATTGGTAATTTGCTTTATGGGGATGTGTTCAATTTTCATAAACATTCCATGTATTGTAATGAGAGAACATAGTTTTCCTTTGCAGCCTGCAACATTCACATGCTAACATCAAATACATTTTTTTCATTATATTTTCTATTTTAAAAAATTTCCACCTTGTGGGAGAGCTTTTGAATGGCTGAGCAATGCTCAAAAATTAATTCAAATTCGTTTACAGAGCGCTTAGCACATGGTTATGTATGGCTATAAAGCAGGCAGTAAGAATACCGTGATGAAAGAGACCAACCCAGTGCCTGTTCCCATGCACCTACCTTAGTGTCTAGAGGGGAAGAGAGAAAAGTACACACATGGCTATTGAATTATTGTTGTGCTAAATGCCACAAAGGGAAAGCACTGTGTGTAATGAGGAAGGTCCTACCTGAGACAAGGTACTGTAGCTAAAACATGCTTGCTCGTACTCAGAAGTCTGGATACAGAATATGAAAAAGTTAGCCAAGTACATGAATCATCAAAAAAGGTTCAAGTACAGGTCTGTCCCTCCACACTATTCCTCCTTCATCTGTGTCTCCCTCCTTATTTCCACCAGGACCTCATGTCTTTCTTTCTTTCCTCTTTCTTCCACTCATCCATGTGTCTACCTTTTGGTTCCTCTCTACCATAGTTGTCCTTCTCTGGAAACATATTATTCGGTGCTTGGGACAAAACTGCACAGTTCTGTTAAATAAATGTTAAAGAACGTTTTTGAGTAGTCACCATGCTCTGTATTATTCTAAGAAATGCAATCACCTGAAGTGGGGTCCAAACTGGGGTTACTTTCAGCATGTTCAACATTTTTCTTTCTTTCTTTCTCTTTCTCCTTTCTCTCTCTCTCTCTCTTTCTTTCCTGAGATCATGACCTGAACTGAAATCAAGAGAGGGGCACTTCACCGACTGAGCCACCCGGGCATCCCCAACATTTCATTTATATTATAATTGTGTGAAGTTAGACGAGTTTTTGTTATTGTTAGATGGATTAACTGAAGACTAATATTGCCCTGACAGTCAATTAAAATGTCTGGTTATTTTGATCATGTGGTTGTTGAGCCCCGTGTCCCTGAGTTGGTACTTGAGAGGCTGGCGTATGTGACCAAGTACTTTGCTGATATCGGTCTCCATCTTGTTAGATTCATTCCATTGATCCAGCCCAGCAATAGCCCTGGTTTATTTTGGTCTCAAGTGTGTCACTCAATCCGTGAGCTAATCATCCCAGCTTCTACTCTGTAACCCTGGTCAGCAGGCTATCCTTTGCTTCATCCAGATCATTAATTAAAATGGTCCACGGGAGAGAACCAACGAGCAAGCGAGGGAGAGACCATGCAGAAACAACCCTCCACGTGGACGTCCATCCTTTAATCACTAATTTCAATAATTTTAACCTGATTTTAATTGTATCATCAC